ACGCAGTTATGCATTGAAGGCGAGTGATGTGAGGCGAGTACTGAGAGTAAGATTCTTTTTGATTATTTGTATGTGCTGTTGATTGTAGCGCTCTTCATACAAGAGCGGCATCTGTGGCAACAAATTTGACGATGTAGAGTAAAATGAAGTCGACCAAAGATTGAGCGGTGGGCAGCACCTAAACGATCATTAAGGAAGGTGGGAAGAAAAAATGCCTGAATTATAGCGAATGATCAAAGCTGGAGATTGCGACACCCCGACATAAGTTGGTCATTGATCGTGTGTTATTATAAGTACGATACGACATTTAGATTGAAAACGACGTCTAATGCAAACGTATTCAAACCACGAAGGGATTTGCTAAGCGTTGATTTTACCAGTATACAGCAAACCTGCATCTTTTGCTATTTTTATAGCAGTTGAATACACAAATTATCATACCTGTAAATTATGAATGAGCAAAATGATAGGTTCAAGCTTAATAAATGAAAGCCAAAATGATATTTGTGATCATTCAGCTACTTGTGAGTGAGATGAGAAAAGAGCGACTAGTGGTGCAGCAATCCACAATTCACTGATTTTGTAAATCTCCATTTGTTTCCCTCTTTGACAAGCTCCATAGCTGTCCACAAATAAAATTGCAATCTTAAGCATACTGTAATTGCAAATTGTTGAGTTGATTTCTTTTTCTCTTGTCATTGGCGGCAGATGGGAAGTTTACGGGATTGAGATTCACTGAATAACGAACATCCTTCGTATTAAAAGTAACGACTTTTCAGATGATGACAATGTTATTTATGTTTAGTTTCTGAAACTATGTGAAAAGATTGCAAAAAAATTCTTGCGTGAGAACGTTGTAGATACAATACCGCTCACATGACTACAAAATTTTCGTGAGTCGCAAAAGTTCGGGAAGTCGCGAAGTTTCGGGGATTTTGCGGAAACACGCGACATTTTCGGAATCTTGCGACATTCACGGAATTGTGCACATTATGTGAGCGTTATTGTATATCCATATAAGCAAAATATCTATGAGTTCCACCCTAAGGTTTAGCACAATAACCTTCTAATTTTTTTCAGCTTCCGTGCCTTGCAAACCTCTGCATAAGCCATTCCGCCAAAAATGGCTTGTTCTTCTGATGCTCCATGCAATCTGACGCTAACCTTCTTACTACAGAATTGGAGCTCTACTACACAAATCTTCTGAGAAACTGTGTTGACATAAAGTTTTGCTTTTTGCTCAGCAGAGTCCGTAATAAATCTCCAAAATAGAAAACGAGTTTTGCTAATTTTTTATCGTTTCAAAAAGCTTAGATCAAAGCTTGAGCTTGATAATTAACATTTTTGAGCACATATGGCGCATGGACGTGCGCACAGTTCTTAAAAACCTGTCATTTCAAAGCAAATCGAACATGTAATTCTGCAAAAAGATGGATAATTACATTGAATATCTGAATTTCTTAAACCCGACTGTTATGCCTTCTTTGGCTGCAGCCATGTGTTCCGTCATAAATTTAGCAAACATAAATATCTCTAGGGAATCTCTATCTCTGCGAAGCTTCAAATAGCATCATAAAAGCTGAACGCATTCTCGCTTACAAGGGAACGATACTCAATGTCCGTGGCCTTTTGAGACGACATGTATACCATTACACTCGCCTTCGAACGCTGATTCCGAATCTGACTTTCTGCTAATCGTTTCTCTGAAGGAAGTTATGGAGGAATTTCGAACCAACTTTATCCGCCCAAGGGTATGGTCACCGGAACGGTCTCTATCGGCGCCACGTTATTGTCTACTGGTTAGTGTGATAGCTTCATAACTTGATACAGGTGGGTTCAAATCCTTTTGTGTTTTTATTTTGCACTACCTCAATTAAACTTGCTCGAGATTCACTCGATATGGTCATTGGCTACATTTTAACGCAAATAGTAAATTTTTCCAAATTTCCACATTTTTAGAGAAGGGCGTTCAGTTAGCTCGAAGATGCGAAAGAAGGTTTATTAAGGCAATGCAAAACTGAAAAACACAAAAGGATTCGAACCTACACCTGCATCTACTCATGAGCCTGTCGCGCTAACCGCTAGACCACACCGCAACATCACCAGTGCCGCTTCGAACTTATTTCAGTGGGCAGCCAAAGCCCGCACAATCCTTTATAACATCTTTGGAGCGATTAGCAGAAACGGAAGTCAGTTTCGGAATCAGCGTTCCAATACGAGTGTAATGGTATACAACTCATCTCAAAAAGTCACGGACACCGAGTATCGTTTCCTTGTTAGCTCAAGATGCTTCATATGTCTGATGCTCATTCTTCGAGAGTTTCGAATAAAGTTTTAAATATGAGTGTAATTTGAGCAGACAAACAAATCGGGTGAAAAATCTTTGCATTTGAAAAGCATTCGAAAGTTCTCATTTTGGGAATAATACTCGGAACAAAAGAAAAAGCTGTGTCAAGTGCTTACCTGAAGTTCGGTCACTATTATGTAAAGTTTTACTGTCATCAGAAAAATATTTGGAGCAATCTGGCTCATGACCAAAGTTAGTCCTGATATAAGTGCGTGACGAAAAGTTGCATGAAAGTCGATTTATAATAGGCAATATCCAAAGTAAAAGTGGAAGTGAGCATGTATAAATGTTGTAAATTAGCGTTAACGGCTGCACGGTACAAGCCAAAAATGTGAGAACACGCATTCACTCTGCTGGTTATAAGACAGTCGTGAGTCTACCTGGCGTAACAATCTCTCATTTTTTTTTAGGAAAATTCAAATGGCGAGTTTTGTGGAAGAGCTATTTGCCAAGGTATCTGAAAGTTGTTTAATGTTCGATTTGGTTCCAGTCTTTTTCAGCTACGATTGTTTAGTATGTAAACTTTTGAAATGACTGAAGTTTGGATTAAAATTAGATTTTTAGAATTAAAGGCTGCTGCATGACGAAGGCGCAATGGCGATATTAGTTGAGCAGCCGCGAACGCGACACGCGCGTATTTTTACCGTTGTAGATACCGCACTTCACTCGCTCTGCGGCTAATAAAGCCGCGTTCGCATCCGAGGATATTGCGCCTTCGTCATGCTGCAGCCTATACAGTGAGATAGCCTCATTTTCGTAAAGACTTTGAGCTCAGAAAAGAATTTAGATTATGTTTGACCGCTGCAGCTATACGCTTTCAAATCAAGCGGAGTTCTTTTTTAGTGTTTACTTCGATGAGATAAGACAGAGCTATAATGGCAGTATCATAAAACATATAACTGCAGCACTACAGCATTCAATAACATTGATTCTGAAGTGGCTCAAACGAGATAGATCCTCAAATATTTGCTCGTGCTTTCTGACAGCTTCAGGGTAATATGCAAACATAGCCTTGGGACTACAAGTCCGGAAAAGCCAGCACAAAGTTTGGTATATTTTTTTGAATCCTCGCGATACCAGCAACTGATGTATGTGCTGAAACTCTTTACGCAAACAGATTGCAGTGGAATTTGCTGTAGACGGCAGCAAAATAATAGTAATAATAATAATAATAATAATAATAATAATAATAATAATAATAATAATAATAATAATAATAATAATAATAATAATAATAATAATAATAATAATAATAATAATAATAATAATAATAATAATAATAATAATAATAATAATAATAATAATAATAATAATAATAATAATAATAATAGTAATAATAATAATAATAATAATAATAATAATAATAATAATAATAATAATCATAATAATAATAATAATAATAATAATAATAATAATAATAATAATAATAATAATAATAATAATAATAATAATAATAATAATAATAATAATAATAATAATAATAATAATAATAATAATAATAATAATAATAATAATAATAATAATAATAATAATAATAATAATAATAATAATAATAATAATAATAATAATAATAATAATAATAATAATAATAATAATAATAATAATAATAATAATAATAATAATAATAATAATAATAATAATAATAATAATAATAATAATAATAATAATAATAATAATAATAATAATAATAATAATAATAATAATAATAATAATAATAATAATAATAATAATAATAATAATAATAATAATAATAATAATAATAATAATAATAATAATAATAATAATAATAATAATAATAATAATAATAATAATAATAATAATAATAATAATAATAATAATAATAATAATAATAATAATAATAATAATAATAATAATAATAATAATAATAATAATAATAATAATAATAATAATAATAATAATAATAATAATAATAATAATAATAATAATAATAATAATAATAATAATAATAATAATAATAATAATAATAATAATAATAATAATAATAATAATAATAATAATAATAATAATAATAATAACAATAATAATAATAACAATAATAATAATAATAATAATAATAATAATAACAATAATAACAATAATAATAATAATAATAATAATAATAATAATAATAATAATAATAATAATAATAATAATAATAATAATAATAATAATAATAATAATAATAATAATAATAATAATAATAATAATAATAATAATAATAATAATAATAATAATAATAATAATAATAATAATAATAATAATAATAATAATAACAATAATAATAATAATAATAATAATAATAAGCTCATTTATAGAGTTTCCCGCTTGTCGCCATTGGGATAGACACTAACTTTTGGATAAAGACATTCTGAAGCTGTCATACGGACATTGATGTATGACAATTATGGCTATAGATGTAATAACGATTCCTTTCCACGACCCAAATTATGAGGGTCATAATGATAGGCATATTTCAAAACAACCCCTTATTATTACACCAAAAGCAAGAATTACGGTGTTTGAGAACGAGGTTATGGGTCACTAACAAGCTATAAATGATATCAAAACTTGGACGATAGATTCAAAGCTTTCTTCCCTGATTTTAAGCTCTGTCACTCAATTTCATTTGTCAATGGTTCTGTAACCATACTTCAATAAGTGAACTTAAGGATTTGCAGGCGCACGTTGTAAAATGAAACTTTTCGTGCTTCTTATGCTAATTGCACTTTGCGTGGGAACTTATTCAAGGCTATGTAGGATGTTCCACAAAAGGTAAATTAGTGTGACAACACATCGATGCCTCTATTATCTCTGCTTCAGATACAAATGTCAGGATGGAGAGTGTGTGATGGTTAGACTGTGCTTGCCGAAGCCAAATCACTACATAACATACGACTTATGCATGTCTAAATGCGGGACGACAACCGCTAGTACTAATACTACTGAAACATAACTAACCGTTGAAAATAAAAGCAAGAAGATTTGTCAAACAAAAGACATTGACATTGCAATACCTTTTCGAGTGTTTCAGAAGAAATATTAGTAGCGGATACTCTACACTTGAACATTTGATTTTAAAAAATCTCAAAAGCTTTCGAGTAATCTTATGCTTAAGGCTTAGTAACGGTGTGCAAATCCGGCATATGGAGAGTATAACATAACAGTACCTTTGTCCTAGTTGATTTAGACACTTTTGGCGCCGTTGGCGCGCAATAACATTTCACCCGAGAAAATTACTTTAAAAGAAGTTTAAAAGTCTTTGAGAGCTTTTGATTTCTTCGATTTTTACCCTTTGCTTTTTATCCTCTGGCGACACTGAAGTGCCGCCTGTTTTGAACCGAGCGTGCGGTCCAGATGCATTGAACTACACAGCAGATTGATATTTATTTATATAGCATAACATACATAAACTACTGCCTAGCCTATCAAGCTTTACCTACTTCCATTCCAAATTTGATATAAAAACATTTCCCTTGTCTCAAGTCTAATCTCATGAAGAACAATGCTAAGCTTATTACTTTCATTCCCTTCCATGCTTACTGGCGGGTTACTATTACTTTTCTAGACAAATAACTAATCTTATATATAAAGCTCAATGTCTGTTTGTCTGTCTGTCTGTATGTCTGTCTGTCTGTCTGTATGTATGTTTGGAATAGAAAATTCCATTTCTGAACCGATCCGGACCAAACTTGGCACACATACACTTCGGGCCCCGGCGGGTGTCATAGGCTACTTTTCGTCATCGATCGATATTCGATTTTATCGATTTTTATCGATTTTTTTGCAGAGTTCACCTACGGGGCTGGGAGTTGGCACAGGGGGGTAAGTAAGCATGTGAATTCCGGAAACAATATTACTTTTCAGAATTATCGATTACTTTTATCGATTTTATCGTTTTTTTTGCAAAGTTTGACTATGGGGCTGGAAGTTTGCACAGGGGGGGGGGTAATCGAGCATGCTGATTACGAATACAATATTAGTTTCTGAGTCTATTACTTTTATCGATTTTATCGATTTTATGCAAAGTTTGAGCTATGGGGCTGGGAGTTTGCACAGGGGGGTAATCGAGCATGCTGATTACGAGTGCAATATTAGTTTGGTCGGCTATCCGGGCCCCAAAGTTTCTTTGTCGTAGAGCTTGCGCAAACTTCGTGTATAAGGGTTATCTTACGTGCTGAAAACAGATATCACACTTTCTCCGCATAACGCCGTGTGGTTACGGTAGGTGTACGGTAGGGAGTCAAAATCATGAATTCGGCTGAAGTTTGGTCCAGAGAACTTATTCGACATGCTGGAATTTCATACTCTCTCTCTGCATATTGGAACCTTTACTTAGAGTTATTGTGGTCATACGGTATGGGGTCGAAAACATAGATTTGCTTTAAACTTCGTCTAGGGTAGTCATTTAGCGCACTGAACATGACAGGCTGAATTCGCAGGATAGTGCATTATTGGGTTACGGTGGGTGTAGATGAGCCGAAGTTCCAGATTTGCTTAAAACCTTACCTGTAACGGTTCAGAAGTATACTACTTATAAATAGTGATGCTTGCTCGCTGTGATAACGCATTAGTCAAGTTATGGTGAATTGCGGGTTTTGAATGGACATTTCTCCGCTTTCGGGCCAATTTAGATCCCAGATATTCACGAAGTGGAGAAACGGTTGTTTTGCATGGTGGTCTCCAGCGCCATCCTGATAACCTGTTCTAATGCGTAACGCACGCAGCAATCTCCCTCCCCCTGTTTTTGCTTAGGCAAAAGCCGCCGAAGGGTGTGTCGCGCGCTGCAGTGGTCCTATAAGGAAAGCATTACGGCCGTGGGAAACTTTCATACCACACGAATTGCCACTATCGAGGATTAAGCACGATATTCTTGGAACAGCACTTTAGGTAATTTCCTGCCAAGGTTTCAGGCAGGTTCATGATTTTTCCCGCTGCAAATGACTACGATATTCGTCATCAGCGGCTTGAATAACCCCATATACCAAGTCTGAGCAAGACACACACCACAAAAACATTTTAGGGCCCGGATAGCCGAATAACGCCATCAGTTTTTAGAATTATCCTTACTTTTGTCGATTTTATTGCTTTTTTGCAAAGTTTAAGCTACGGGGCTGGGAGATTGGTGAGGAAGGTAAATGAGCATGCTGATTACTCACACAGCGGGAATAGGGAATTGCATGTAGAAGTGGGCACAGGTTAAGGTGTGCAGGGATACAAATGTATCGTTACCTGTATGTACCTCTATCGTTTTTGACAGGGCCGGGCGGAGCCGGGTAAGCCAGCTAGTCTTATGTATAAAGCTGAATGTGTGTTTGTTTGTCTGTCTGTATGTCTGTACGTATGTGCAGAATAGAAATTTTTATTTCCGAACCGAACCGGACCAAACTTGGCACACATACACTTCGGGCGGGAAGCGTGTCATAGGCTATTTCTTGTCATCGATCGATATCGATTTTATCGATTTTTATCGATTTTTTGGAGAGTTTACCTACGGGGCTGGGAGTTGGCACAGGTAAGTGAGATGGCGATTCCCGAATACAATATCAGTTTTTGGGATTATCTATTACTTTTATCGATTTTGTCGATTATTTCAATTAATGGGCTGAGGAGCTAAGAGTTGGCACAGGGGGGGGGAGTAAGTGGGCATTTCGAAGACAACACAGGGAACGGGAAGTGCAGAAGTGGGCACAGGGAAAGGGATAGGATCTTTGTTATAGGGATAGGGATGGGACCTTTATTACAGGGTTTTGACAAGGCCGATCGGAGCCGGGTAAGTAAGCTAGTAGCAGATAAACGTGGGGAAAAGCCCAGGGTACCGACTCCATAAAGAAGACTACGGAAGAAGCCCCGCCATGTCATTGCAACGGTCTTTATACCAGACCGCAGCAAAGAACGCTTATCATTGCTTAGCGCGGAGATGGTCTGTCATCATGAACGGGAGTTAACGACACCGCCTAAGGAGAGTTAGTGCAAAGAAGTCTCCTAAAATTATAAAGAAGAAAAAGGCAGGAGTAGAAGCAGAGAAAATGATAGGAGAAAATATGAATTTTCGAGTGCAAAGCTGTTGTAAATTTGCTAACTATATGCCTTTGCAACATGTCCTATGTATGAATCAAACACAAGGATGGTGGGAAGTTATTGGAATTTTTCAGAATTAACCGGAATTAGTGCCTGCCAAAAGGCCTTTCAGTACCTATATACCTATCAATACCGATTATAGCAACCTTTCCAGCTTTTTTTTTCAAAAAACGGTTTTGTTACTCCGACACATTTTTCAATATGTTCTCATAAAAATTTTGTATTAGGTTGTCCGGAAATTAATGCACGTTTTGAATTCCAACCGCAATAAGTCATACACTTCTCACTTCTAAATAGGTTGCAAAGTACCATTCGATAAAGCAAAGCAAGCTCTACAAGAGGGCCATCTTGCTTTTGCAACAGCTATCATCCACCTTGAGTTCTGAGCCATGTGGGAACTGCACAATACCACTTTGGCAAATGCACGAAAATTTCCGATTTCTTGATTTCTAACAGTGGAAAAAATACGGCAAAGGCGTATGTAGATGTTTTATGTGGATAGTGTTTACGTGAGCAAGTAAGAATTTTGTAGGATTTTTATGAACTGAGTTATGATTTTTTCGATTTTCGGACAGCTTAGTCTTTTTAGTTTTTGGCTCGAAACTCGAGGTAAATCAGCACTGTTGCTAAATCAAGATAGCCATCTTGTAGAGCTTGTTTTGCTTTATCGAATGGTACTTTGCAACCTATTTAGAAGTGAGAAGTGTATGACTTATTCCGGTTGAAATTCAAAGCGGGCATTAATTTCCGGGCAACCTAATAGTTAGAAATTTTATTCGATTTTATGTCTGAGTTTAACATGTTCCGTCAAATTCATTTTCGGTTAGGTAACTACGAGAGTATTAGAAATGACTCAAAAGATGTAGAGCGGTTATTTATAAAAGCAAAACAATGGAAAACGTCTATTAAAAGATTTTAGGGACATTCAGCAATGACACAAAAGTATCTCTGTTTCGGCTATACGAATTTAGCCAGGAAAGAATAAAGATGATAGCTTGAAACACCTGGTTGCAGCTTGTTTCGTCGCTTCAATGATGGAACAATAGCCCACTCCTCTGCTCTAAGCAAATGTAATGTGTTCATTGAACATAGTATGTTAGTTACTCTTACAATGCTAGTGTTCATTTTTTAAACTGCTGATAAAACGAAATCATTATTGATTGAAAAAGAATTGAAGTTATATTGGTAGAGAAGGCTGAACAAACTTTTTGTAAAACCTGTTATTGTTTGCAAGATTGTGTAAGAAAAAATGACAATTTCTATTGTTTTGCGGCCTTGCACTTGCAGAGTCAAGCAGTTTCCATGGAAAAGCTCACATCATGTTATTTGTGCTACCGCGGATCATCCATAAAACTGCACAAAAACCTTTTATTGAAATAAAGAATTATTTTACCAGAAAATACATTTTAATTTTACTGTGAGATTCAAAGTAATAAACCTAGTTTTTTGGTTTCTATAAGCAAGCATTTGAATGGGCATCTCCACCAAATAAATTTCTGGGCCGGTAGTAATCTACCCTACCTGGTGGCATCAAAGATGCCGGCAAGTTGGCACACATCGCGGAAAGATGCCAACTCCGCCGGCAGCTCGTGGAGTGATTGTAGGTTTTAATAATCTTATGTAACCTTAGCAAGCAATCATTTCGCACATTAAATTTTGATGACGCAGACAGCCGCGAAATTGCCACCTCGCGCGCGGTCGAACCTATGTGCGTTAACTTGAAGTGCCACCACGTTAACCATTCGACCATTCGGTCAGCAGTTGTTGTTTGCACCAGCAACAGGAGGAACGCGCTGGTAAATAGCTGCCTGTAAGAGGGATCGATACATCGCGTGAGAGACTTTGACCTGAAAGAACAGCTGATTGATATGAGCGAGAGAGGGGCGAAATCAGTGCAAACGAGATTATAAAGGATTGCAAAAAAAGATGATGTTCTTGGATTTTTTCTCTGTAAGAAAATCGTCGTTTCAAAAAAGAAAAACTCGTATAATGAGAAAAATGATAGTTCTTTGATGAAAAGTAGAATTTTTGATTTTTTCGCCCGACGTAAATTATGTGATATCGCCGCAATTCGCAAACTCGCAGACGCCGTCGGCAAAGGTGCCACCACCTCGACGTGGTAGGGGCACGTCGAGATGCCGGCAGCTCCCTCTCTCAAAAGAGCACGCTATTTCCCGTGCTCTCTGACCTGCCGGCAGCTGCCATCTCGCGGATTTCGACGAGCTACCGGCAGGTTGCCGGCAACTTACATCGCGAAGTTGCCGGCAGCTCCTTCTGCGCTTGCAGATATTTTCCCATAGGAGGATTTCTAGAACCGCAGATTTCTATGGAATTTTCTACAGAATCTAAGCGGCATCTTTATCGAGTAAATTTTTTGGAAATAGGTCTGGGACCGCCTAAATTTGGGTTTTCACTTTCTGGCCACCTCAGGAAAAAGGTGCCAGCGACCTGCCGACGAGACCTGCCGCCAGGTCGGGGGGATTACTACCGGCCCTGAAATACGTAACCTTTTTTTTACAAAGTTTGAAGCACTATGCTAAAGTTCTTTTGCATAACTGAACTACTATCGTTTTATCGCATTATTTCATTACTTCCAGTGACTGAAATTCAAAAACCTAGAGCTCCCAAATCAATTTTCTGCTATTAGGTTGTCCGGAAATTAATGCCCGTTTTGAATTTCAACCGCAATAAGTCATACACTTCTCATTTCTAAATAGGTTACAAAGTTCCATTCGATAGAGCAAAGCAAGCTCTACAAGATGGCCTTCTTGCTTTTGCAACAGCCCTCACCCCCTCGAGTTTCGAGCCAAAAACTAAAAAGACTCAGCAGTCCAAAAAATCGAAAAAAATCGTAACTCAATTTATAAAAATCCTACAAAAATTCTTACTTGCTCACGTAAACACTACCCAAATAAAACATCTATATACGCCTTTGCCGTATTTTTTCTTCGGTTAGGAATCAAGAAAACGGAAACTTTCGTGCATTCGCCAAAGTGATGATGTGCAGTTCCCACATAAGTAGTTGTATACTACAAACCTTTAGAAGTATAAACGTGAATTTTCAGCTCTCTACAAGCTTTAGTTCTTGAGAAATTTGAATTTTAGCTTGGACAACTCAACTAGGAAAAGCTATATTTGGTATTTCTCGAGAACTAAAGCCTGTAGAGTGCTGGGAATTCACGTTTATACTTCAACAGGTTTGTAGTATACAACTACTTATGTGGGAACTGCACATCATCACTTTGGCAAATGCACGAAAGTTTCCGTTTTCTTGATTCCTAACCGAAGAAAAAATACGGCAAAGGCGTATATAGATGTTTTATGTGGGTAGTGTTTACGTGAGCAAGTAAGAATTTTTGTAGGATTTTTATGAACTGAGTTACGATTTTTTTCGATTTTCTGGGCTGCTGAGTCTTTTTAGTTTTTGGCTCGAAACTCGAGGTGGGTGAGAGCTGTTGCAAAAGCAAGAAGGCCATCTTGTAGAGCTTGCTTTGCTCTATTCAACGGTACTTTGCAACCTTTTTAGAAATGAGAAGTGTATGACTTATTGCGGCTGAAATTTAAAACGGGCATTAATTTCCGGACAACCTAATACATTTTAGTTATTTCAAGTTCACATCAATTTTTAAACCTTGATAATCATTTCCGATTGAAAATTTGATTCTTGAGTACATGCTTCTCATAAAAATAACGGAAGCACCAAAAACTTTTTTCAACCTGTGTTTTTGCACAAATGCTTGACAGTCGGCAAATCGTTAACAGTTCCATTTTTGCTGGTCATGTGTTTGAACAGATGTAATTGAAAATCAACATCTCCAGAAAAATGGATTTTGTGAAGCTTTAAGCAGCAGATCAAAAAACCCGAATGCGTATAACTACAGTTAATGTTTATTTCTGCGGAAAGATGAAAAAGAATTTCAGAGTGCGGAATCTGAGCGAATGCAGTTGAAGAATTTCTAAATTCAGAAACATTAAAAAATTTCATTTTGGGAACATTACCATTAAAAAGGAAAAGCTGTGTTGTGCACATTCGGAAGTTTTCGAGCATTTATAAACGGAGTTCTAATATCGTTCGAAAATGCGGTAAATTTGGAGCAACCTATTAGGTCGGTCTGAAAGTTCAGTCGTTTCATTTTTGAAAATTTGTAACTCTGCGCTATCCCGACGGATTTGCACCGTTGTAATTTTATATGAAAGCATAATTTTTCGCTTTCGAACACACTCTTGATTAGCTTCTATTACACACTGACTGCAGAGATAAAAATGAAAAAGTAAGACCAACTAAGTTTTGCTCATTTTAAGTTAGGTCGCCATAAATTTGAAACGCTACAGAAAAATCTGAAAAGTCCAGTATATAAGTTTTTTGATCCACTCTTTATAACTGTGAAAAGACTGTGCTGTTTGAACGTTTCTGAGAGAAGTTTTGAATTTCGAGTTAACTCAGAAAACGCCAAAATTAATTAATTTGTCACTTTTTCCGAAATTCATAACTTCTCTCAGAGACGTTCAAACAGCACAGTCTTTTCACAGTTATAAAGAGTGGGTCAAAAAACGTATATACTGAACTTTTCCAGATTTTCCTGTAGCGTTTCAAATTTATGGCGACCTAACTTAAAATGAGCAAAACTTAGTTGGTCTTACTTTTTCATTTTTATCTCTGCAGTTAGTGTGTGACAGAAGCTAATCAAGACTGTATTCGAAAGCGAAAGACTTATGCTTTCAAACAAAATTACAAGAATGCAAATCCGTTGGAATAGCGCAGAGTTACAAATTTTCAAAGATGAAACGACAGAACTTTCGGACCCACCTAATATTTTATAACCAGAGTAAATTTCTATGGAATTGCATGACGTAAGATTAAATAAAACCACATGATGCTTGCTAAACAATAATAACATTTAAGACTGTAGAACCGTAACTTCGCACACAGAGCCGTAACAGTCAGCGTTCCCGCGGTATTAAGTTTGAAAAAAAATGTAGAAAAACGGGATTTTTCTTGGTTGCATCAAAAAGCAAAAGCATTCACTAACATTTAGTTGTAAGCTTCTCTTATCTGAGTGACTCCTAGGAAACATCCAACTTGTGACCCATAAGGTAGCGATAGTGATTTATAGTTAGCGCAGAAATTTGTTCATTGTCTAGAATATGTCGATTATTTCACATCTAGAATCCCCTATGTTTTGCCATTTTTAAAGGGTTTAAAAGCTTGATTCAAAGTTAGACTGTTAGATCCACGTAAGCGCTATGATAACATCTTCGCTAAGTCTCTGGACATCAAAGAAAATCAAGATTTTGCTTGTAACCTGCAACGTGAGACACGCCTCGAAAATAGGCGGAAAGTGATTCCCGCTCAGTATTTGCTATCGATGAAATCTACGACAAAGCTATAACTGCAGTATCATAAAAGATACAATTGCAGCCTTCAATAACATTGATTTTAAAATGGCATAACACAAAAGAATCTCAAACTTTCAAACTCTCAATCTCAAGCTCATACTTTCCGATAGTTTCAGGGCGCTATGCAAACTTTAAATTCGAATTTTCATGTCTGAAAAAAAGCAGCTCAGAAATTATTACATTTTCAATTATTGAAACCCTATACCGCACACAACTGCAGTGGAATCTGCTCTAGATAGCAGAAGAAATTTGATAAGTTATATAGGTATTTATAAATTACCTGCTTGCTGCACATTGAAATAAACATAAACTTCTTGGATAAAGACATTTTGAAAATGCCATGGGGTCGTTGGCATATGGCAACTATGGCTAGAAATGTAAAAACGATCCCGTTCCACGATTTAGAATATGATGGTCATAATGATAGACATATCACAAAACAATCCCTTATTATTACACTTTTGAATGCAAGATTTACGATGTTTGAGAGCGAGGTTATGAGCCACACCAAGCTATAAATGATATCGAAACTTGAACGGTAGATTCAAAGCTTTCTTCCCTGATTTTAGCTCTGTCGGCTCAATTTTTTACTTGTTAATGGCTCTTAACCAATATTTTTGATAAGTGAACCTAAGGAATTGCAGGCGCACGTTGTAAAATGAAACTTTTCGTGCTCGTTATCCTTGTTGCACTTTGTGTGGGAGTTTATCCAAGAAGGATATGTAAAATGGTTCACAAAAGGTAAGATTGGTGAAAGGACATATCTACGCTCCTATTATCTACTTCAGATACAAATGTCAGGATGGAGAATGTGTGATGGTTAGACTCTGCTGGCCGAGGCCAAATCATTACATAACATACGACTTATGCATGTCTAAATGCGAGGCGACAACCGCCAGTACCAATACTACTGAAACATAACTAACCTTTGAGAATAAAAGCAAGAAGAGTTTTCAAACAGAGACATTAACATCTTTGCAATACCTCCCGAATATTTCGGAAGAATTATCAATGGCGGGGATTTTTCATACTTGAGCAATTGATCTCCAAGAACCTAAAAAGCTTCTGAATAATCCTATGTTTAACGCCTGTTCAAGGTGTGCAAAGGTCTAGTCATCAGCAATATCACATCGGCGACATCCAACTTATAGCTGTAAGTCAGTTTTGAGTCCCTTGTCGTTAACGAAATGGCATCCTTTCAGGTGATAAGCAGGAGACCTTACAATTTGCTTATCGAGCATAATATTAGGTCGTACCGAAAGTTCTGTCGTTTCATTTTTGAAAAATCATAACTTTGCGCTTTCACAACGGATTTACTTCCTTACATTTTTATTAGAAAGAGTAAATCCTTCGCTTTCGAATGGTGTTTTGCGTAGCTTGCGCTTCACACTGAGTGCGGAGAGAAAAATGGAAAACTAAGACCATATAAGCTTTGATCATTTTAAGTTAGCTCACCAAAAATCTGGAATGCTGCAGAAAAATCTGAAATCGTCAGTACATATGTTTCTTGGCCTACCCTTGCATCTGTGAAAAGTTTGTGCCGTTTGGAATATCGAGTTTACTATGGAAAACATCAAAATTAATTAATTCGTCAATTTTAGCGAAAATCATAACTTCTCACAGAGACGTCCAAACAGCACAAACTTTTCGCAGATGCAAGGGTAGGCCAAAAAACATATGTACTGACGATTTCAGATTTTTTGCGGCATTCCAGATTTTTGGTGAGCTAACTTAAAATGGTCAAAGCTTATATGGTCTTAGTTTTCCATTTTTATCTCCGCACCCAGTGTGAATCGCGAGCTCCGCAAAACAGCATTCGAAAGCGAAAGATTTACTCTTTTTAATAAAAATGTAAGGAAGTAAATCCGTTGTGACAGCGCAAAATTATGATTATTCAAAAATGAAAAGACAGAACTTTCGGTACGACCTAATATATAGTGTTTTGCCTAATATAGAGGGTATAATTCAACAACACTCAAGGTTCAAATCCTTGGCGCTCAATAGCATTTCTTTGAAAAAATTCATATAAAGAACGTTTGATTTTCCGCCTCTTATTTTGAAAAGCCGATGCAAAAGAACCTTATAAGAGGATTATAGAAAAAACCAGGAAAAAGCAAAGAAAATAGTCGGAGAAAATATAAAATTTTGAATGTGTTCACAAATGTTTCAAGATTGGTGGCTATTTCTGCGTTTGCGGCATCAATCACGTTAGTGAGAAAATTCGTTATGTCCTGTGTATGAGGCAAATCCAAGGATTCTGGAGACTTTTGAAATTAGAACTAAACAGAAAAAGTATGTCAAAATCCACCAAAGCAGAAACCTGATCGAATTTTCTCGCGCTAAAAACTTCTAGAAAAGACATGAGGGAGAACAACAAACATAAATACTTCAAATATTTCAAAAATTTAAAAAATTCAGAGTTTGTTGGGAATAAGCGGCAAGAATTTTACTGGTCAAAGACCAGGTGAACGGGATTTAAAAGGATTATACGACATGCCAATTACGAAAATGATATCCATTTTGTGTGGTAGTATACTGTTGCGAAGAACTTGAGTTGCAAAAAATCATTGGGATGATTTTCATACTGGCAACAACTGGATATGTTATTTATGTTTAGCTTTCCAAAACTACAGTATTGTGCAAAGTTTCGCCAAAACATGAAGGCTCCAAATCTTTGACACTGGCCGATTTCGAAAACGTTGTTGGCGCACACTTTAACTTCTCAAGTGAGTCAATTTCTGATTTGTCTTCAACTTACAATTTTATTTTCGCCGAGCTTAGTAGCCACACTCTGACAAAATTCTGCTCATGCTTACAGGTGCATTTGGTCACTTCATGTTTTGTACTGCTTCATTTTTGCTAGAAAACCGAAACCTCGAATTTGACCGTCCTTTGAAAAAATGGAAAGATTTCTTCTATCTTATCATGAAACTCAAACATTTTTCGCAGTTTGTAGCTCGATTTTGATCCGCACACTTCCAAACATTTGGTGCACCTATTCACATAATCGCCGGGGGCAGGAGGCCCGCAAACTCGCGCTTTTCTGCAAGCGGTCAGCAGTATTTTAAGGCGTGGCCAAACCTTTAGCAAGCGACACTTCCTTTACTGTCGCATGTTCTGCCAGCGGGCACCAATACAGAACTTTCTGCGAGCGATCGTCAAATAACTTCTTTCAGCGAGCGCTGGCCAAATTTTCAGCGAGCGCTCTGACTCTTGTTACACAGTTTCGGACGTACTTGGAGCAAAGGGTAACACTCTACAAGGTAACGCTCTACATGCAGAGGTAACATCGATGGTTTGATTACCCGAGTTTGGGGTACTTTCTTTCAGCGGAAGATACCTACGGTGCGGTCCTCCACAAAGGACCGTGTGGCCCTCAATAACTTTACATATTCTCGCCGAAAATCAGCAAGAATGCGGCCGCTGGGCAGCAAGTAATTTATGAAAAAGCCGCAGTTCTTCTCCAAGCATTCGTCCAAATTTGGCCAATATTCTTCAAATTATTATTAATACGAGTTTAAAGCGCCGCTTCGCGACGCTTTGACTGGTTGTGTGTGTAAAGTAGGAAGTGTTCAAAAGCTAGAATCTCTGAAGTTTTGTCTTTATATCTTTTTGTAGCCTCAAATATGCATAAAACCTTTTAGGCACGCATAGTTCGTGTAGGAAGCACCGAATAGTAGTTTTTTACTTCCTACTTTATCTCCTCCACGGATCTCCTTTTTAAAGGGATCCCAGGAGGCTAATCGCCGACCAAAAGCGACCCGGCGCCTGCTTTGATAAGCAAGCGGAGAGACTCCCTGTCTCGATTAAAAGCTTGCATACCTATTTCCCAGGTAGATGTGGGAGAGGCGGGCTCGGACTCGCCTCTAACAAATAAGCTCCGACCGTCCCTGGCGGGAGATTTGAGCCCACCAAGTTGCTCCTGCAAGTAATTAATCATTAAACACAGTGATATAATGGAAAGCTCCCTTAATCTTGAAAGAATCACTGGTAAGGCAGCGCCGGTGGAGACAAGGTTTGAAAGGCGATCTAGGCTGCCGAAAGCGAGACGGACAATGATGACGATCTGTACTTACAACGCACAGACGCACGCATCGGACGCACCTATCGAAGATCTCTTGATGCAAGCAAAGAAGAACAAGTACGACATCATCGGACTGACCAAGACAAGGAGACACCACCCGCTGAGCACCACGTTTGATACTGGAGGGAAGAACTGTTCTTAGGAACATGCGACAGCAAGGGAGTCGGCCTTGTAGGAGTCCTTGTCAATACGAGTTTGGCCGTAAGCATCGATTCATTCGAACAACTCATAACCCGGATCGGACGTTTACCAATATCGCGATGTCGATCAATCCCAGCCTTGACAGTCTTCATAGCGTACGCCCCAACATCAAGCTACGACGAAGACGAAGTCGAGGCTTTTTACATGGACGTGGAGAAATTCTACAGAGAAGAGCACACCTTCTACAAGATTGGTGACTTCAACGCAAAAGATCGGAGCAAGGAAGTCGCCTGCGGAACTTCACATCGGGACCAATGGACTACAGTGAAACGAAAAAGGGGGGAGACGGTCCGGATTTATCATGACGACAAGGGCCATCCATGGAAACTCGCAGTCTCGAAAGCCCCTTTCTCGACGCTGGACCTGGGAATTGCCCGGTGGAAAGTACCATAACGAGATTGATCACATCATCGTCGATAGAAGGTATTGCCTGAGTGACGTCGCCGCTGTTCCGAAATTTTACACGGGATCGGACCATCATCTCCTTCGTGCCAAGTTCTACTTCTCATGAAATGGAGAAAGAGCCATTAAGTTTAGGAAAACATGGTCCCACGGGATCTGTTTTCTTCCATATCAGGCTTTTGGCGAGATACCGTGATCGACAACATCGATGAGGAAGATGAAGGATTTTTTCAGCATCTCCACGATTGTGCTAAGGGAGCTGAGAGCTCAAGAAGTACCAAGAAGCACCTGTCCTCCGCGGCGTCAACCATAACGCTTGTGCTCTTCTCTCTTTAAAATCTTCTTTTATCGCTTCTCTGCTTTTCTTCGCGAGCACGTAAGTTGGTAATTGCCTAAAGAGCCGGGCATACTTAAAGCGATTTCGGTTGCGACGCGACTTGGAAGAAATATACGCAACGCCCGCCGAAGCATCGTCAATTTCAGGATCAAGATGATCGCACTCTACCGCTTCTCTGATGGAACCACGACATCTTCCCGAGAGCCGATGGAGAAAGTCATCAACAAATTTTACTTGAATCTCTAAGTCACCTACCACCATGCCATCTCAATGAGGACGGATATGTTGCACCATCAATTCTTCCTTCAAAGATTTGACATGCTATCATGTCAATGAAAAGCCATACAGCAGCCGGGCCCGACAGGATCAAACTGGAACACCCAGAGAATCTCTTAGTCCTTATCAAAACCCTGGCGAGGCTCTTCACGCCGTACCTGAAGGAGGGCACGATTCCAAGTCAATGGAAGACTAGCAGGACCGTGTTGCTGTACAAAAAGGGAAACCCCGCGACGTAGGAAAGTTTCGCCCTTTCTGCTTATTGTCCACAGTCTACAAACTCTTCACACGAGTACTTCTTAACAAAATCGGAAGAGAATTAGACGAAAGATAACTATGCGAGCAAGCCGGGTTTAGGAAAGGATTTAGCACTATGGACCACATACACACATACACACGATAACAAGGCTCATCGAAGTATCGCGAGAGTACGGGATGCCGCTCTTTCTCACCTTCATCGACTTGAAGAAGACATTTGATTCGGTCGAGGCTGAGGCTGTCATTGATGCCTTGAGCAGTCAAGATATTCCAACTCAGAACATCAAGATGATTCGTGAGTTGTACAACAACTTCACAGCCAAGATCACACCATTCTACAAGGACATAACCATCGACGTGAAGCAAGGCGGTACCATATCGCCGAAACTTTTCAGCGCT